AAAGAGTATGGATGATCCAGGCAGACCTCCTGGTATTGTTCTAAGCGCTGCTACTTCGTTTTGGATCCCCGTCTCACCAAAGAGAGTCTTTGAATTCCTTCGTAATGAGAACTCGCGGAGCGAGGTACATAACTCTTAATATATTTATACGATCGCTGTTTTTAGTAAATTTCTATTCAAAGAAGCTTTGTATAACTAAAAATAGTCATAGGGTTTGTTTCAAATTCGATAATATGAATTGAGTTGACCTGAATTGATACAGTGGGATATCCTTTCAAATGGAGGTCTAGTTCAAGAAATGGCTCACATAGCTAATGGTCGTGAACCGGGCAATTGTGTCTCTTTACTACGGGTCAATGTGAGCAGGATTTGATGATTTCTTGTCACTCAAGCAACCTACTCGATCACACTTTTAACTTTGTCAAACTTGAAACTTGCAGAGTGCAAATTCCAGCCAGAGCAACATGTTGATTCTTCAAGAGAGTTGCACAGATTCTACAGGCTCATATGTAATCTACGCGCCAGTAGATATCGCGGCCATGAACATTGTCCTGAGTGGAGGAGACCCCGATTACGTTGCCTTGTTGCCATCAGGGTTTGCCATTCTGCCTGATGGTCCTGCAGGGCTTAATGCAACAGGTATTATGGATGTTGGCTCTGGTGGTTCTCTACTCACAGTTGCATTTCAGATACTGGTTGATTCAATCCCAACCGCAAAACTCTCTCTCGGCTCTGTTGCAACGGTAAACAGTCTAATCAAATGCACAATCGAGAGGATCAAGACCGCGGTGATTTGAGCGCTTGCTAGGCTTAAATTATGGTAATTAAAATCTACTAACCCACTCATGTAGATTATGGTTGTGTTAATTAGCTAATAATTTTTTTATGAAAGCGAGATTAATCCTCTTTAATTTGATGTAAATCCTTCATCGTGTTTGCAGAGTGAGAATGAACAAGTAGAGAAATAAGAAAGAAAAGGGAAATTGGAAATTGGTGTTTGATTCAGAAAGAGATGAAGAAGTCAAGAACGCACCTTTATATGACCCTTGCTTAATGGTGTATCTTTATTTCTTCTCCATGGCAAATTAAGAAGGATGAAGAACATTTCATGATCACCGCAAGCAAGGTTAAAAGGTTCGGGTATTGACTTTGAGACAAAACTGAAGAGAGAAAATGAGGTTAAAAATTATATATGTATGGTATTTATATGTAATGTGTTTGTAATGGAGGACTCCCTGCATTTTGGTTTCTTTATTTTGATTAGGGAAATTAGGAGTAAGGTTTAGGGTTAATTAGTGTTTAGGATTTCTGTAGGATCTTCCTTTGTTTATTAATTTGGCTGTTAATTATGTGTTTTGTTCAGGGATTAATTATGTGTTATCTTATCAAGTAAAACTGAATTAGCTTATCAACAAGACTGAATCCTGATTATTGCGATGCCTGTAAAAGTTGGAACAGCACATGAAGGAAGATGCATATATTTGCTTAACACATATACACAATTATAATAAGCACGTAGATACACCCAATCTGATGTAGTGTAAATACATGTGTATATACAATTAATCAAAGCAGCATGCCAGTTTATATAATTGTGTATGAGCTTAAATTCCATTATCCGCAGAGAACTTTATGATAAATAATTGAACTGATTATCGCAAAAACTTCAAAGTAAAAGAAAAAATTACCCAAATATTCTCTGTAGTTCTCCATATTCTTCTTCTTCTTCTTCTTCTTCTTCCTGTTCTTTAAATTTAAATGCTTTATGCAGTGAAAGTACAGAGATGGATGGTGGTTGTAAGTAATTACAGTTGAGCTTTTATTGAATTCATGTGACAGGGAAGAGGCTTCTCATTTATAAAAAAAAAAAAAAAAAAAGACCAAAAATTCTTTTATCTTCCACGAAAATGAAGAAATGAGATTAGGCTTCATTGACATATTATATATACATGTGTGTATTTATATGTATATATATATTTATGTGTATATATTTTACTGTAGTTATTTTCAACTTATTTTTAAAAATTAGAAATTAAAAAAAATAAAGAAAAAGAGGAAAAAAAAGATTAAAAATTAGGCCCAATAAAAAAGACAAGGCCCAGTCAGTTGCTTCTGTTATGATGATCAGGTTTCTTTCATCTCCGGATTCCAAATCACGGGGCAGTCAAAGGAAGTACATATCAAACACTATGTACTCGCCTGCACCGGATCTTCCCCTACCAATACTTTTCTCGTACGTTGGTTCCCCTTTTCCTCAGTTTTTTGGAAGTCTGAGAAGAAAGAGATATTTGAAACTGTTAAAACCACACATAGGTTGAAAGTGATTTCGGGTGAGAGAATATGGGAGGAGGTTTCTGGGTTTTGAAGGTTTCCGAGGGAGAAGAATGGAGGGAGGACTGAGATTGAAAGTCGAAGCTATTGTATCGTGTTTTGTCTTTGGCCTTTGCCTACCTATTCCCACTACGACTTGATGAATTCATCACATTTATCCATTCTTTTTCTGCTTTTTTGCTGCTGTCATTTTCTGTGAGAAAGTCAATTGTCTGCGACTTCGACTTAGAATAAGATGGCTGGATCTTTTCGAGTTTGGTTTGATGAACGCTTGCTTGGAGAGAAGTAGAAACGAAAATTAGGAAAGTATTAGTTAACTGGTGTAGTATCATCAAATAGAAAACGTGTTTTTTTAAAAAAAAAAATTATTTTCTATCCAAGAAAGTTAATCATTTTGGATTGAAATACTTGAGCACTTGGTGGGACTTTACATATATATATATACATAAATATATTTCATTTTAGAAGAAGTAATTGACTTTGGTTGCAACTAATTTTTATGTTAATTCTTAGTCATCACAAACTCTTGAACTATTTTGGGTCCGGACATTAGGATTAGGTATACAATGCATTACCATCACAAATGTTAACGTAGTTCGACCACAGGTTCCACCACCTCAGAACAGATACTGCACTAGGGATAACTTGAAACAAAAATAACGTTGGTAGTTCTGTCTTATCTTTTAGTCATCCCAAACTATTTTGGTTCCAGGCATTAGGATTCGGCAGACAATGCATTACCATCACCAACCTTAACGTTGTTCCGTCACATTGACTGTAGGTTCCACCACCTCAGAACAGATACTACACTAGGGACACCTTGAAACAAACACAAGGTTGGTAGTTTCTGCCTTATCTTTTTAATTTTCTATCCATTCCTTTTCAAAGGCTTACCATCTACACCATTCATCTTGCTACCATTAAAATCAGGTCAGATGAGTAGTTACAATGTTGGCGACAATCAACATTACATTTACCCGATACTTGCCGTGTATCTTGTTTGGGATTTTTACTGGCTTGTAAGAAATATATTTTTTTATCTTGCTTTCCTAACATTTTGTACTTGGTGTTGCATTTGATGATTTTCTGCCATATATATCCTAGTGCTGTAGTTGTAATTTGTCTTGAAGATAAAAGCCTTTACGTATATGCAATTAGCCTTTACGTACATATATATCTCCTAGCCGACACGGCAGCTAATTATACATGTTTTTCACACCTTCAAGACCCATTATGTTGTTTTCTTCTAAACAACAAACATTATTTGTTAAAATTTTGGTTGATTGACCTAAAGATGAAGTAGTAGTTGGATAATAATTGATGAAATGTATTAAAAAAAAGAAAAGTGGCAAGTTGTAAATTATTTGAGCAACTTTTTAATTAATTTTGTTGGAACATCTTTGTCATCTAAGAAAAGTTAGACAAACAATCAGTGGAATGGTCCCATTACAAGTTTCAATTTTCTCAAGTTAATTTCCTTTTTCTTTTTTATCGATTATATTCATGGTGCATAACAAAGTAGTCAGAAATACATATATGTTTTCTGTGATGCTGATGTTTCTTTGGTGTGATTATCGTGCATGCGAGTCGTGGAAGGATCTGTCACTGAACCATCCGCACACGTGGTACTGTATATTTTCATGATAACTGTTTGAAAATTATAATTTTAAGTTGAATTCCATGCATTGCCAAACCCAATTTAAATATGAAGGCCTTGTGAACCATCCAAGTCACCACCCTGCTTTCTTCATAATCTCTTCATAGTAAAGATAGACAGAGGAAAAAGTATATCTCATTGTAGACATGATTTGCGCGAATATCCCATTATCTTATCTTCCTAAAAGTCCAAAAATATTCAAATGCCCTTTGATTTGCAGTGCAATGACCGAGGAAACCATTTTGACAAGAGAAGCAAAACCCATCATACAAAAGTTGCCCGAAATTAGTGTAAGATCAGTTCCTAGTACTCCTGGAAAATTTGGAAAGTTTGGAGGAAAGTTTGTGCCAGAGACATTGATGACTTCTTTGAGCAATCTTGAAGCTGAATTCAACTTGGTTTTGAAGGACTCTGAGTTTCAGGTCTGTTGCTTTAAAGTTAAAGCATTTAGCTATTAGTTAGTCCTTCCAGATTATAGAAATTTTTTCTCACTACAAGACAACGGATTTGCCTCGCTGCAACTCCTATGAAACATGGTCTTACGCAATTGTATTAGATAGATGATTGTATGAGATATTTAGAAGTAGTGATCGATATACAGTCATATTATAGAAATTGAAAACTGGGTGTTGCAGGAGGAGCTGGCAACGGCACTGAGAGACTACGTGGGAAGAGAGACGCCTCTATATTTTGCTGAGCGGCTGACGGATCACTACAAGAAGAGCAAAAATGGAGAAGGACCGGAGATATATCTGAAGAGGGAAGATATTAACCATACTGGCGCACATAAAATCAACAACGCCATTGCGCAGGCCATGATCGCCAAACGTATGGGCAGGAAAACCATTTCGTGCGCCACGGGAGCTGGACAACACGGAGTTGCAACTGCAGCTGCTTGCGCAAAACTTGGTCTTGAATGCATCGTTTTTATGGGCACTGCAGACATGGAGAAACAAGCTTCTAGTGTCACCTTCATGAAGCTGCTAGGTGCCCAGGTAGATACATGCATGCATCGCTTATTTCTAAGTCAGATTTATGGATTTAATTACTTATTCAAGTTATGGTTGCAGGTTAAAGGTGTTGAAGGAAGCTTCAAGGACGCAAGTTCAGAGGCAATTCGTGAATGGGTAGGTAATTTGGAAAGCGTGTATTACTTGACAGGGACAGTGGTAGGAGCTCATCCATGTCCAAGTATGGTGAGAGAATTTCAGTCAGTGATAGGGAAAGAAACCAGAAGACAAGCAATGGAGAAATGGGGAGGAAAGCCTGATGTGCTTTTGGCTTGCATCGGGAGCGGTTCAAATGCACTTGGTCTCTTCCATGACTTCATTGGAGATGAACATGTGAGGCTCATCGGAGTTGAAGCTGCTGGGTTTGGGTTGGACACCACCAAACACTCTGCAACTCTGGCAACCGGACACCTGGGTGTCTATCATGGTGCCATGACTTTCTTATTGCAGGATGAAGAAGGTCAAATCCTTCCACCTTATTCCATTGCTCTTGGGTACGTCTGTAATTTACTTGCTATATATAATTGAGCTCCCACTTATACATATATATACATATATAATTGAAAATTATACACATTCTGTATACAGGTTGGAATATCCTGGAGTTGGTCCTGAAATAAGCTTTCTGAAAGATTCGGGGCGTGCAGAGTTTTACAGTGTAACGGACCAAGAAGCTTTAAATGGTAAAGGTCTTTTATTTTGTATATGTGTGTGTGTATGAGTATGTATATATATATATATATATATATATATATAACACACAGTTCTATAATTCGTTTTTCTTTTTCTCAATAATTACAGCATATGTACGGGTGTGTAGATTAGAAGGCATATTACCGTCACTGGAGGCCGCTCATGCATTAGCTTTTCTTGAGAAACTTTGCCCAACTTTACCCAACGGAACCAAGGTTGTGGTGAACTGTAGCGGGCGTGGGGACAAGGATGCTGCACTTGTCCTTCAACATATAAAAGATTCCATTCACCAGTGAAAAACGTGAATATATATATATACACGCACACATACCACGTGTGTATATATAATATACGCGTACATAAAATCAATTATGAATTTTCAAAATAAAAAATCACGTGTTGAATTTAAAAAATTTCAAATCACTTAATCAAACTATATATATATATTTTTTTCTTTTTCATTTACATACAAGACAACTAAAATCTAATTTATAAACTAAGATCATAATTGTAATTTTCTTACGTAATTGATAGATGATAACTAAGTTAGTAGCAAATAAATTAAGTTTTGTGTATTTATGAAATAAAATTATTTCGAGGATCAAACTACGTTTAAACATATTAAAAAAAAAAGATTATTAACATATATCGAAATATTATTTTTATCGCAATGAATTATCTCGAAAAAAAAAGTATTTCTAAACTAAATTCTCGTAAGTAATTACTTCCTCTTCGAGCTTTAATCTATTATTTTACTTAATCAAATAATTATTACGTTCTTTCACAAATAATGTATATTTTTGGATATGGAAACTTTATCATTTGATGGATCTTATGAGTAATTCATGAAAACCAGCAAATAAAAGCTTGTTTGAAGATCTTCATAACTCTTTTGAGATCTTCATCTTGTAAAGTAATTATAAATATAAAATTCAAGATAAACAAACTACAAATATCTATTTTAAGCAATTGTCTTTTACAATTCATGCAACTTTTTTGGGATCTTTATTTCAAAACACGAGAACATTCGTATTCAAGCAAAAAAAAAACGGCTTATAAAATAATAGATTGTAACTTATTAATAGTAGAGGATTCAAAAAACACGTAATTTTTAGAGATAATTTATTTTAAATTCACGTAACATTTCAACTGTAACATCCATCTAAAGAAAGAAAAGAAATGTAAATAAAAAATAAATTTCGAGTTAGGATTTAAATGAAAGGATTTTACAAATTTATGAGACTTTTAATTAATTTTAAGGAACAAAACGAAAGTATTTAAAAAAATGGGGGTAAAAACATAAATAAGTAGAAGTAGAAGGAGGTAAAGGAAATAAAAAAAAATGAACGGTTTAGATCAAACCGCTTGAGGAGATCAGATGGCTGAGATTTAAAAAGAGAACGGAGATTCCATATCGAATCATGAAGATGCAACGGTTGTGACGAACGAGTATAAAAGAGGAAAAATTAGGGTTTTCTCTTCATTTTAAAGAGTATGCGAAAAAGACAGAGGGAGAAGAGAGAGGGGCGATCGGGGAGAGAAGGAAGAAGAGGGAGTCGCGCGGGGAAGCTGAGAGAGAGAAAAGAGAGAGGAAAGAAGAGAGGGCTAGAAGGGAAGAGGGGAAGGGAAAAGAAAAGAGAGAAAAAGGAAGAGAAAGAGGGTGGTCGAGCGAGAAGAAGGGAAGCCGAGAACGGCCGCACAAGGGGAGAGGAAAAGAGAGAGAATTGCAGAGGAGGAAGAAGAAGAAAGGAAATCGCGGCTGAGGAGTACCGTGTGATGGCAGAATCCAAAATCGAGGTTGTCCGGGTTTTTCGAGCATTACACCCGAGCTAGGTGCATTCTTTTTCTTCTTTCAGTTTGTGTTTTATACCAAACGGGTGTTCATGTATGTGTGTGTGTGTGTGCAGGTTTTGGAGTTAAAGGACCACAAGGTGACCAGGATGAGGCGACCGGGAGCCAAGCCGAGGTTGAACCGCTTGCACCGAAGGTAAACCATTTTCTGTGTTTTGGCGGTGGTTTGAGTGGCGGTGGAGCTGGACCAGTGTCGGGCTGGCCGCGCGGGCTCAGCTGGGCCACCCACCCGCGCAGGAACATAGGAGGTTTCCTCGAGAATGGGAAAAACCCACCCACCGTGGAAGCCGAAGGGTCTTTCGCGGGAATGGTGGCCAGAATTGCCTTTTGAAATTTCGATTCGCCGTTCGGGAAGCTAAAAGATTTTTCGGGTACGGATCCTGAAAATTTTTGATATTTCATTGGGTGGTCATTGGAACCCGTAATTCAATTAAATTAATTTTTAGTTTTTCGAAATATTTTAATTAATTTATATCGTGAGTACATAAAATATGGGCATTCAAGTGGATTCTGGAAGATATCGAGGAGAGTAATTATTTTTAAATCTCAATTGGGTTTTAATTTCAAAATTTTTTATTTATTTCATTAAATTATAAATTTTAAATTTTGAATGGACACTGACTCAATTTTCAATGAAAAACAAAATCCAAATTTATGACCAGTGAACCCAAATAATTAAAAATTTATGAGAAGACAAAACTAAACAACAGAACCAAAAGACTGATAATTATTTGGACTGTGATGATATACGAAATTGAGAATTAAGAAAATTCTTAATTAAGTAAAAAATTGAAAAAGAAAAAGAAATAAAATAAAATTGTAAAAATAAAAAAGAAAAGAAATAATTGAGATTATGAAATGATCAATTAAATAAAGTTCAGATAAAAATAGAATAAGAAGTAAACAGATAAGAATTTTAGAATGAGAGAGTAGGAGTGAAAAGGGTAGGGATCCTGAATATTTTCTTGTTTAGTTTGAATCGAGGAGGTGAATTTGTGTGTGTGACTAAAGTTCAGCGAGCATAGTGAACCTACACATGAGTAGAGTCTGAAACCTAATCCAAACGTAGATAAGTATTTGTGAGTGTGGGTCACCTAGCAAACGTACTTGTTGTGGCAATTGTAAGATTTGTGTGTGTGTGCGTGCTATCCATGCGATAAGGGGATTCATTTTGACTTTCTTTAATGACGATATAAACGGCATCGCGCAATGAAACCTTAGAAATGACATTTCAAGTGTATATGTGATCTTTTGTGTGTATATGATATTTTGAGATAATGAATGATATTCGAGTGTATCTATATTCTTTCGAGAGTATATAGATATACATTTGAGTATTGTATATGATATTCGAGAGAATTCAGAAATTGATCAGAAACATGTGAAGTGGTAAAAATAATAAATGAATTTTGTATTGAAACATCACTATTGCATCTCTATCATTATGTGTGTTTTTCATGAAATTTTATCTGAGTTGAGAGGACGAAAGTATTTATTGAGTTGGTGAAACTCATTAAATCTCACCATAATATTTTTAAAAGGATAATGAAAAGTCAGTTTCGCTGTCAGACGAGTAGAACTTGTAAAAAATGTTCTTATTTTTTTTATATATAATTACTGTATATATCACATGAAATAATAAGTTGTATTATATTTTTTATCTATGTATGTATATATTTTATGAGCCCACTACATGAAAATGATATGAGTAAGAATTACATTTCATATTGAGTGTCGGAGGGTCACATCAACATGTAAGAAAATATAATTTAAGAAAAAGAAAATATACTTCACTATAGTAAAAACTTTGAATCTGTACAAGTGAGAGACTTAACCAATGGCATTAAAGCAATCATGCCATGAATTATATACAGAAGAAGATTGTTGGACTCCAAAAGCTTGCAGCTCTGTGCTGAAATGTCAGTTTTGATCTTTTCTTTTTTAGTTTGATTAGAAATTCAAAAGCTTGTAAGCTTTGTGCCAAGATGCCACTTTGATGCAATCTTATAGACAACTGCAGTTCATCACAAGCCCGAACATTGCTCGTATGGAAGAACTCTAAACTCTACTTTTAGCTTCGATAATCCAATCTAATTTCAAAGTCTCCAAGGATCTTAGCATATAAATTAGGAAAAGAATAAAGCGCAACTAACAAATTCTGATGTATGCTTTCAACATACTACCGTATCTTAAGAAATTTCTTTATCAATGTATGGATCTTGGCATTACAGGAAAATTGTACACCAAGATAAGATTCATAAGCACAAAAGCAAATACTTATATCAACCAAATCCACCATTTTGCCAATGCCATTAAACAGACGTACAAGAATTCCCATGGGGTAAATTAGACTGTGAAGCCTAAGATATATCAGCAAAGGTAGAAAGCAATATGCAAAAATTAGTTGGTACAAAGATTTACAAGTACAACCAGGTTAAAAAGCACTTGAATACAGATGCTAGGGAAAAAATAATTCCAAACAGCAAGGATTAGGAAGAGCATTATTGTCCAAATTAGACCATTATTGTCCAAAAATATTAATCAAAATTATGGGAGATTGGACCTCATAAATCTTAAAACTTATTGAAATGACTTGAATGCTTCCAGAGGTCTCATCGGACTGTTGCTTCAACAAGAATTCATCCACCGGAGAGAATTTGTGCCAAGAGCACTTGAAAACAATCTGCTAACTCAATACTAGAATTCTGTACACCCCCCCTGCAGAATGACAAAGCAAACAACAAAACAAATATTTTCCAAAAATTCCGCAACTCATGGCTTTAGGGTTTCTGCTAAACACTACAGAGCTCAATTAAGTTATTGTTCCCAACCCCAGCCCTAAGGCACTTTCCCCAGACACTTCTTTAAGGAATATTCGAATTCCTGCATCACATGTCAAAAGACTTCTGAAAGTTAAGTAACAATTGATTGTTGACATGGTAACTTGTATCTGTTTTGACAGGTGAGAGACAAGAAGAAAGCCACAAACAGAAGACTGGGTGAATCTGTAAAACTTTTCCTGCAAGATAATGTGCATGGTACAAGTCCCAAGTATACATGTACATGACTCTGGCATGAAGCCAGGGTTCTGACAGCTCCAATACTACTGTAAAAATAAGTAAGAGCATACCGCTACCATGAAGAAACTTAGACTAGGTTACAGAAGACCTAGAAGCTGATCTAATGAAGTCAACTCCGCATCCTTTTTCTTTGACTACTCCCTTCATTGTCACCCTGAAAATAACAAGAGAAAATGTAAGAAGTTACCATACTCCTGTATAGCCACAATTATGCCACCACATGCAGAGAAGCACCAAGAAAAATACTTGGTCAACCACATATCCATATTACACACATTATATGTGATTATCTATGCAACCATCTGAAGTTTGTTTTACATCTACACCAAACTAAGGAATTGCACTAATCTATGAAATACTCTTTACATTTTAGAGAGGCACCATTTAGTAAAGACAACTGATAGTCCTTTTACATTCATTGCACAGAGGTTAAAGCATATGCAACATCCTGCACATGTAAACTAATAAATTTGAAAATTAAAAAAAGTGACATATGAAAGTTTGATTGTCTCGAGGATATAATAAAATATTAGTAGTTGCATTAAAACACAAACCCAGTTCGATAAGAGATAATGATGAATAAAGAAAATGGTGAAACTAAAATAAAATTCCATACCCCTTCATCGTGTCCAAAATCTTCAGGGGGCACGACAGTGGACTCTGACCTGCATTTAGCATGCACTATTGGACCTAACTGAGATCTATCCATGCTTGCTGTTGATCCATCAGGTGCATTCATGTAGACAGCCCCTTTGTACATCCATTCCTCCGTTTCATCACTATAGAAATCATCAAATGGCTCACCACATAATGCACATGCACTCTGATCTTCATCAGCGGGAACAGCCAGTTCCTCGTCATCCTTCTTTTCCACCACTGCCTCGGCGGGCAAAAACCCAGGAACTGCTTCAGTTCCCAAAGCCTCTGCACCACTAAGCCACATGCTAGTATTTACAAACCACTTGCGAGAAGGTTTCTGCTTACGGTTCTTGGACATGCGGTTTTTAGTCACATGCCAATCCATGTGCATGCTGTGTGCTTCTTGGCATTTGAAACGAAGGCCACATGTCGTGCACTGTCTTGGTAGATCAGCATATAAAGCACTTATTGCAGATTCGTGACGCCCCTTAAGTAAGTCCATATTAAACTCGAGTCCCAAGGAATCCTGGGTATTAAATCATATGGATTAGATACGATCACATATTGCAGGGAAGAAATGCAGTAAACAAAATAAAATAGTTCAATGACATACAAGTAAATACCTGTATATCAGGTTGGTTTGTCAACGAGATTAACCCTTGAGCCATGAGTGAGGAGATCAGACCAGAAAATGCGCTGCCTGGTTGATTGGGAACAGGAAGACCAGCACTCTGACTGCCAGGTACCATTTGAGGTGGAGGGGGCCCTCGAGGAAGAGGTGGCAAGGCTCCTCCCCCTAAACGCAAAGAAGTTGGGATGTTTTGGATCTGCAGAGGTGGTTGTATGGTGGGAACTTGATTTGATTGAACTGTATTCAGTAGAGCATTCTGGCCTTGTGGCATATACCCATGGTTAAAGGATGGTGCACGCATCGGAGCTGGTACCTGAACAGCTGCAGATGGACGGAAATTTTCTCGAGATTCATGAGAGGGAAGAAATTGTGACTGTAAAGAACTTAATTGCAACTGATTTCGTTGATTTAGTGCAGCAAGATGATTAGGGAATGCTGGCACTTTTGCCAAATTCAACTCCTTGTTTGCAAAACCATCAAACTGCTGCTCAGGCGTATACAAAGATTTATTCTGACCCTGGTTCAACACAGGGCCACTATTTAACAGCTCAATCTGATTGCCCGCCTGTTTCTGTAGTGGATAAATTGAGGGCACAGGCAATGGGTGGGATTTATGAACATTTACAACAGGCCATACTAGCGAGGATGAAGATGCAGTGGCCGACCGATCTCCAAGAACAGCAGAGTCCAGACTAGCAGATCCTAATCTAGATGCTACAACTGGGGTCCTAACTAACTTTGGATCAGCATCAGGAAGCCTGTCAACCAGGGAAGCCATCTTGTCATTACCTGACAAAGATACACCAGTAGCGGAAATAGGCACCTGCAAATTCTTTCCTCTTCCTCCGGCAGTGAAGGGTTGTGGTGCCTGAGGAAAGTGATGAGACCTGTTCCAAGTCTCCTGAGGATAACGAGAACCCAATATCTGACTTGGATCAGTTTGGATCCCAGGTATCAAACCTGTTGATCCACGACCAGACTGCAGAAAGCATTAAAAAATTAATGTAAGATTGAAATTTTTTTTTCTGAATGTAAAATGCTAAGATTAAGTTTAAAAACTTCAAAGATCCTTTTTCTGTACAGATATATTTCCTAAACAGATGAGAAAGTATTTATTTGCCATACTATAAGACAAAAATTAAATCAGAAAATAAAAATTGAAAAAGGAAAAGAAAAACTAAAACACATCATCATAGCAAAGGAAAGCTTAAATGACTTCTCCTTAAAATATCACCCTCCCCCAAATAGCCCTGCCTCCAAAAAAAAATAAATTACATAAGAAAAATGGAAACTAGAATCTGGAATTTTATTTGTTAATGACCCTACATAATTGAAAACGAAAGAAAAATGCATCAGATCCTGTGAAAAATCCTACAGAAAATGAGAAGCAGAAACATCCAAAAAGCAGGGTTTCTGAGGAAACCAACACACACCACGAGTTACAGAACAATAACAAAATATAACGAGAGCAACATTTGAAGATACTTTACCAGAATAATTCTATGGAACTAGGGAAATATTAAATATGGTGAAAGAGTAAGGGGAACAGTAATGATGCTAAAAGTGGACACCCACCGAGGAGACAACTGCATCTTCAGCTGTAATGGAAGTATCATCCACCAGAGGGAGCAGACCCTGACCAGAAAGATTTGCCGGAATATCAGATTTCAACAGAGAAGCATTCGACTTCCCAAAGCCAGGCCTAGACCCAACATTTCCAAAACGCAGAACAGATGACGACAAGAAATCATTACTTCTATGGCTATCTGTCAAAGTGGGGCTCATATCTTCCCAATCAAACTCTTCCTCTTCAGTATTCTGCCACGATTTTGAAGACACTTTATTTCCCATGCCATTTACATCTAGCCTTTCAACCTGCAGAGGCTTATTGTTTGAACTTCTGTTACTATTGTCACTTCCGTATGCATCTATTAAAGCTCTGGGCCCCTGACGATCATGCCCATTGCTAAGGTTGTATGCAGCAGACATTTCAAACCTGTTATGGTTGTTATCAGAGTAGCGCTTTCTCCTCCATTCACTGGTCTCATTTTCTCGACTAATCATTCTAGCAAGTCCATGGTCAAAGACAGAATTAGCTGGAGAAGCCACATCAGCAAACCTTCTCGGAGAACCATCTGCTGCAGTTTATTGACTTTGAATTATTAAGGCTTACATGTAGGTGGCAAAGGTCTCGCAAATTTAGAAGCCAAAGAAGGAAGATATTACCTCCAGTGGTCATAGATGGACGATTCAGACCACCGGCCGAGTTAAATCTTTGAGCTCCAACCTGTGAGGATGTGCCCTCTGAATGATCTAAATCAAACTCATCATACACAATGGAAGGATTTTGACCATATACTTTTAGATCCGATGATCTTTCCCTCACATTCTGAACATGCTGCAAAGGTTAAAAATTTTTGGCATTTTAGATGTCAGTATCTTCTTTCTTGACCACATGTATGACCAGCTATCGACAAACATTTGTTCACACACAACACAAATGCAGACAATCTTAATAATGAACAACTGGTCATAATCTTCTAATCAGTACTCCCAGGTCAAATCAAATATCTCCTCAGAGAGGTTCAAGCAATGAGCATCAAATTGAAAATAAATAAGTACCTCATCATAGGAAGAAAATTATGAAGTGAATTGAGAAGAATGACAAATCAACTAAGAAAATAGAAAAGGCAGAGAACAGGCCACAAATCATGGCTGACGGTCAATTTTTTTTTTCTTTTTTGTGTGTGTGGGGAAGAGAGAAGGAGGGGGGGAAGCTGGTGATCTAACTCTTACATACATAAAACATATTGAAAAAATTATAATACAGAATAAAACATAAAAAAGAGAAAATTGAACTAATGGAATTCAGCAGATTAGGTTTAGTCAATATTGACTTAGTCTATAGGCTTAGTCAGTAATAACTGAGCCATTAGTTCATAAATTGTTACAACCAACAGCAAGCATGGATTATTTGCAGTCCTGATCCTGGGAAGCTCATATCGTCAACTTGCATATAATCCTGCCGTTGCCTCTGGTTTAACCTTTTCTTTCTTAGTTAATATGATATCTAGATGGCATCTAATGGGCAAAGAATCAAAAAGTCCTCTACGGTTCCACGTAAACAGATAATTGATTAAATTAACCTGGTTTTAGCAATTCAACAGAAAGTCAAGTGACCCCTATAGTAAATCTAATTCTAACATGTGACCATGAATCTTAATCTCAAATTCTGATTGTGCAGTAGTTACACAAGTGCATATTTACCATGTATTCAGAAGAATTTTAACCTAACTAGTTTAAATGTTAGATAGGCAAAGGGGCTCCGTAAGTTCAACCTCTTACTAGATTGTGCATCTTATTAAACAAAATATGCATATAGCTTGTAGCCATCGCAAAGGAGCAATTACTTTTAAACCAAACTAAAGACAGATGCCAACCTCCCAACTAGCCATGTGAGAACCTCCATTTGCCTGTCCTTAAGCCCCTAGAAACAGGAGAAATTGCATCCAAATATCAAAGTTTGTACAGCATGCAATTTCGTCCATATTTTAATTAAAATATCACATGCATATCCTGAACAGTTTTTTGACAACCACCCCCCACCCCAACCACAAAAAAAGGGCCACCCATAGTGTAATCTGGAGACGAATGATGGTCAACATCATCAAAACTCATACATTAGCTTGGTATCCACTTGCATACCAGCCCTAAGGATTTACAATTTCAACATTTAGGATTGGGAAGAAATCTGTTGGTGGGGTTTAAACCAAACTAAAGAGACATGAAAACTTCCCGAATAGCCATGCAAGTACCTCCAGTTGCCCGTCCTTACGCCCAAAGAAACAGGAGAATTGCATCCAAAATTCCAGATACCACAGTCTGTAGCAGCCATTTTTTTTTTCATATTAATTAAGTACCACATGCATATCTTCAACAGTTTTTCGAGAAGCTTCCCCCCCCCCCCCGAAGCACAAAAGAAGGCCATTCACAATATAATCTGGGAAGGAATGATAGTCAACATCATTTAATACTCGTATATTAGCTTGATGTCCACTTGCATATCAGCCCTAAGGATTTATAAATTCAACATTTAGCATCAGAAGAAATCTGTTCGGATGAGTTTCCTTACTATACCGGATTGCATCAAACTGAAAGAACCATAGAAAGTTAGGTAAAGATCAAAACATGCAAACCCCATTATCATTAATTTTCTTACAACCTACACCTTTTGCTAATTAAAAATAAAAGGCCTACAAAATTCCAGTTACAAAAACTGTAAGCAGTATCCTAACCATTAGACATTTCGGGAAGCAGGTGGGAGGATTGAGGAGAGAGAGATTCCTCGAAAGGCTTACATTATCTGTAGTTGAACTTTCCAGTTGACGTAGATACTTTGGATTAACATGTATGCCATGTGTTGGTCGTGGTGACTCAGAAGCCCTTAAAGAAGACTGTTGGTTAACAGGTGAAGAAAACTGCAGTTGGGTCTCGATCTTGCGAAGTACAGGGAGTGGGAAAACTGTAGACCAGGTGCCAAAAAGGTGCCGCATGGCAGGATACAAGTTAGGGTGCACTTGCCTGTATGCCTCGCAGAAAACCTTATAAGAAGAAAGAGAGAATTGTTGGTTTCACCAAGATAGTGCTGTGCACATTGTACATTCATTAACATTCTTAAACAATCAGAAAAGAATCATTGGCTTGGAAATAGAATGCTCACCTCTGGCAAACGGGAAGAGAAGTGTCTAACATATTCCCGGCCAATGTTCTTAACAATGCTGTCTAAAAGATATAATGAAGGCAATTTCTGTTCAACTGGGACCTGAAAATCAATAAGTTTATCAGATAATATTAAAACCACCCAACTCCCAGATAAACAGAGTGCATGAAAATGTAAAGTGAATTTCGTTTCACTCCCTCTTTTCTCCTATTTCTCTCACAATCTAGATAGAGTCGAAATCATACATTTCGTTAACTACACGAAAAAATATCTCTTTGTTCGTATAACCTGACAGTGGTAACTCTGAAGTTCACAACCCTAATTTCTTCAGGTAATCCCATCAACAAATCAAACTAAACTCAATAAGCTGTACCGGAAACAACAAATCGCCAAGCAACAAAGGCAGAAAAAAAAATCGAAAATTAGCAACACAGACAGTTTTTAACAACCTCGATAATTCGAGCGCAAATGGCATCGGCAATGCCCTCTCCGTGGTCGCGCAGCTCGCCGGCGATGATTGTGAGATCGGTTATGATGGGCTTGGAATTGAAGGTGAGTTCAGAAAGTACAACCTCGTAAAGCTGAACGACCTCCTCTGCGCGGGGCGGCGCCACCTCTCCCTGACCGGCGGTCTTGAGTTCATCGTCTCTCTGCTTGAGTAGAGCCTTGAACCGGTCGAGTATTGGCGTCAGGGGCTTCTGTGCGAGCTCATTGGGCATGGCCTTGTTGCTGCTCGCGAAGGACGGGACCCTAGGGTTTTCTCGCGTAATCAGTAGTTTCTCTGATTCCATTAAGATTCAGAGGAAATGGCGAGTGCGGGTTAGCGTTGGGATTCCAGTTAGGGTTAGGGTTTTGGACCACCATGGAACGATGAGGATTGCAAGCATCGAAGAGAGAGAGAGAGAGAGAGAGAGAGAGAGGAACCAGAAGTGTGTCAAGAGAGAAAAAGATACAGTGGTAGTTTCTTGTTTTATCTGAGAGAGAGTTTAAAAATTGGAGCCGTGTGTGACTTGATTAAAGGTTCAGATTTATCGTAATAGTGTTTTAGAAAACCGAGCTCACGTGTTTACGAGTGTAGAGAAGAAAATTGTTACAGTACATGAATAATTTACCAAATAAAATACGTAAATTCATATGAAGAAGAGAGCCCAACATGACGAACCAGCTTGACCCAAATCCATTATTGTCTCTTCCACCCCATCATTACTGTTAACTGTAAGTACCCTGGATTGGAAGGGGGGAAAAAGATCAATCTACACCCCACACTGTCAGTTTGATTTAGTAAAGTTGGTGATGCAAATTGAAGGCAAAGATTTCCTTTTCCATAAAAGGTATTTTGAAATACCTCTCATGGATGAAATCATCATCATCATCATGATCAAATTCCCCCCAACTTCCCAGCAATCTCTGCAAGTATATCTTCCTCACCCGTGCTCGAACCCAAGAGGCTGGTTGCAACCACAATTCCCTACCACTTGGGTGGTCCGAAGCACCGGTGTCCTTGTTCCGCACATGCTTTATTTTGAATCATGCGTTCAAACACAGATATTCCATAAGACTACATGAAGTAAAACAGCATGTATGATTTTGTGTAACATCACAGTTGGATTGGGCAACTCCAAGGGACCTTTGGCCAAATGGAAGCGTGGAAGGGGTTGATTTCACCCACCCCTCAATCCAACTCCTCTTACCTTGGGAGGGTTAAAGCATCATCCTCACGAGACCTTCTAAGGACAAAATGAAAAACATTTTGGTCCACGTGAAAGAAAAATCATTGAGTTGCATACAATTCAAGAAACTGCAAAGAAAGCTCGCAATCAAACGCCTGCCCCTCTCAATTCCCATTCAAATCAAAATTTTCTCTGCCCCCAAACACAGTCAAAATAGTACACCAATATGCTCAAAAACAGACAACACCACCCTGTAAATATCAACATCCCAACTGGGTCCTCCCCAATTTACAAAATATTTCACTCCCACACCCACCCAACCCAGAAAATTCTGAATTGATATTTTTCTGCTCTCTGTCTAACTGAGCGTCAGCAGCCGGAGGAAACAACCAGTGATTTTCCTGCGTGGAAAATTCTTACCCGTCAAAAAAATAATTTAAATGTTGGAAACCCAAAATCAGCATACCATAAACAACTTGATTGCAAATGGAGTCCCATAAGAGGCAGGCAGAGTTGTGTCTCTTTCACTCAGATTCTTTGTCTGTCGACCCACCAATTATTGTCCTCTTATTTCCACAATGGACGGCCATTTTTGTTTCTCAAGTTCATAACAATTGAATTGCAGTAACAAATTTACTCTAAAAAAAAATAATACTCATCATGTAAACTGAACAGTTTAATAATAACATTTACCCTTCTGCTAGTGTAAAAATAAAAATTCTCTTGTTTAATATGATACTGAACCTATACTTTTTGAATTCCAAGTCTTGGAAATCATGACCCTTCTTCCAGTGTTTACTAGAATTTCAAGTTACAAAGTCTCATAATCTCTGTAAAAGTATTAATTCAGACACAGTTAGGAAAATTCAATTTGGTCGACCAACAAATTTGCATTCTCTAGTTGGAAATAAGAATTTGATTTTGTAAGCTGCAGAATTTGAATTTGAATTTGAATTTGAACAGTTCAAGGTAATATATTCATGAATTTATAAATATTTATTTTCATGACATGAAAATTTTTGCTTTCAATTTCCACCGCTAAAAAAAAAATGCTTTTTATTAGCAAAAATATAAATATTTCAATTAAAAATTCTAAATAATTAATTTTGTCATAACTCATGGGAACCCATACTTCTTCTTCCCGTTCTCCACTCCCTTATAAAAGCCCTTCCCTCTGATCTTCCATTTTCCATACGAGACTCACTAATTTCCTTACGTATTCCCCTCCTCCTCTTCTCCTCACATTGTAATCCCTTCACCATATACATTCTTCATAGCATATTTCACTGTCTTCCCTCATCGGGATCATCGCAAAAACCGCACGCTTTGCTTCTTTCGACAATTTTGAGCTGTTTACCTGCCAGTTAGCGAAGTTAAAAACAAGGAAGTTTGTTTGTTTGACCTCCTAGATTTTTTCTACATTATATCTCAGCGTCTTCTTATCTGAAAACCCAATTTAGGTTCCTCTGCATTTTCGTTTAACAGCGAGTAAAAAGAAAAAAAAAATGATCTCTTCCATTAAACTTGCTCCTTCTTCTTCTTTCGCATCCTCAGATTTCCTACCCAAGACACATTCGGGGACGAAGCTTCGATTTTCTCCCCTACCCATTATCAGAAATGGCCAGCAACAGAGCTTTAACCACTCAATTTCTCCTCAGAAGCCTCTGTACATCACTTTAGTTGGAAACTTCGCGTTTTCTACGAAGACCCAGAAGCGGGAGACTGAGTGTAAAGCCTACGAAGCTGACAGGTCTCGTCCTCTGGACATTAACATTGATTTGCCGGACGAGCAGACGCGATTCGAGGCGGCGCAGAAGCTCAAAATCGGGATTTACTTCGCTACTTGGTGGGCTTTGAATGTGGTGTTCAACATTTATAACAAGAAGGTCTTGAATGCGTTTCCTTACCCGTGGCTCACCTCGACTCTGTCTCTTGCTTGTGGTTCTCTCATGATGCTCGTTTCTTGGGCTACTAGAATCGCTGATGCTCCCAAAACTGATTTAGAGTTCTGGAAAACGCTGCTCCCCGTAAGTACAAATACCTTTTTTTTTTGTTTTGTGAACTTTTTTCTCTCGGTTGCTGTTAAAGTGTATCTAAACACCAGTACTCTACATTTTGGGAGTTATATAAATGGATCGTGTGGATAATTTTTTTTTTTTTTTTTTGTAGATTACAAGTTGTAGGAAACTTAATGAATTTGGGTAGCAGAAAGAATAAGAAGTTGCTAAGAACTGATGTTAATGAACATAAAAAACTGATTGTTAATGATTATTTTTATCTGTCTCCTGGCTCGGAAACAGAGTATTATGGGTTGCGAGATGCTTATTAAGGATGCTTCTTTTTTTTGCTTTACTTTTAGGTTGCTGTGGCACATACAATCGGACATGTAGCAGCAACTGTGAGTATGTCAAAGGTTGCTGTTTCATTCACCCACATCATCAAGAGTGGTGAGCCTGCTTTCAGTGTATTGGTTTCAAGGTTTCTGTTGGGTGAGACATTTCCGGTGCCGGTCTATTTGTCACTCTTGCCAATTATTGGAGGCTGTGCACTTGCAGCAGTTACAGAACTCAATTTTAACATGACCGGTGAGATAATGAATCAAGCCTTTCTCTAGAATTATTTGAGAAGTGTTAAAGTTATGATCTTAGGATTTATGCACCTATTAAGACCTATACTGAATTTTGTTTCTTTGTCATTCAGGATTTATGGGGGCTATGATATCTAATTTGGCATTCGTCTTCCGTAACATTTTCTCGAAGAAAGGGATGAAGGGGAAGTCTGTTAGTGGGATGAATTATTATGCTTGTTTATCCATGTTGTCTCTGTTGATCCTCACACCCTTTGCAATTGCTGTGGAGGGTCCTCAGGTGTGGGCTGCTGGGTGGCAAAATGCCGTCTCCCAAATTGGACCAAATTTTATTTGGTAATTATATCACAGCCTACTTTGATTTGTTACCTTTAGTTTTTTCTTTTTCTTGAAAAGTTATTATTTCAATTCTTGATCATTTAGTGGGAAAGTTTAAGTTGGCTGATTAAAATGAGTAGCTATTAGTCTTGGTATTGAATGCAAAAATGAACTTGGAGGCATCTCTTTCCAATTTCAGTATTTCTGGTGACTGAGAAATGGAACTGTTTCTTGAAATTTAAAAAGGTGAAATATTCAGTTAGTGTCTATGCAGAAATGAGTTGTTAAAAGGTACTACAGAATTCTGAGATCTATACAAACATTGAAGTTTCATAGATGAAACACAGAGTATTAGTTTAAATAAAACTCAGTCTGAGCAGATTACCAAATTATCCAATGTGTTGGTTAAAATCTCCTATAATAATTCCTTGTGGAAAATTATCTCTTTTTAACAAATATTTTTTGTTCTTTCATTTTCACTGTCTTCAATCACAAGATATGTCAATCAGTTAAAAATAAATTCTCTTGTCTTTCAATACAATAGATATGCTTATTTGTATCTGAATGGCACTGTAGATTTTAATTAAATTATCTGATATTATGTCTGTATATTGACATCGAGATACTCCATACTGTCTACAAGCAGTGATTGGATGCTTAGATCTCCTATCATTTTCTTGCACTTTTAGAATAGCAATCTGTTATCTTTCAAGCCTTTAGATTTTTGCTGTTTTGTTTAATTGTGAATAATGAGTGTAAGGTTATGATGATGATGGTTTTCATTTTTCTATTTCATTTTTTTCCCATTTCTGAGATGTTTTGCTGAAAAAAATATTTGTGGCTCTGGTTTGATTCAGGTGGGTGGCAGCTCAGAGCATCTTCTACCACTTGTATAACCAAGTCTCCTACATGTCCCTTGATCAAATCTCTCCATTGACATTTAGCGTCGGAAACACAATGAAGCGTATATCTGTTATCGTTTCCTCCATTCTCATCTTCCACACTCCTGTCCAGCCCATCAATGCCCTTGGAGCAGCCATTGCAATCTTTGGCACGTTCCTTTATTCACAAGTAATTTTTCATCTCTTTTATCAATTAATTTTTACAACTTACAGATTTTTTTTAAGTTTTCTTGACACCATAATGCTCTCTAGCATGTATGGACAAATTTGCATTTTGTTGGATAGTCCAATTGCAACTTTTGTGCTTGGAGACAAAAAAAAAACACCAAGAAGAAGAATAGCCTTTCGATCTAAGTAAGGGTCGCCAAAAAAAGGGGAAGGACCATGTCCAATCTAATTAGGGGCTGCCAAAAATGAGGCAAAGAATTATGATTTGCTTATTCTCTTTCTTCTTTTGCTTAATCAATAATCTTGACATAGTTGAAGATCTTCTGGAGGCTGCAATACTATTGCGCACGACCCCTGAGCTTGGTAGGTTATAGATAGGGTTGGGTTAATCTAGATTCTGTGATTACCAAAGTAATCTATTTTGTTTTGAAGCAAAGAACAAAGTGACTTAAAAAACTAGAAGTAGCCAATTCATTAGTCATAAAATTTAGTAATTTTAATAGAAGGTGGTTTATTATGATTTAGGAAAACATTTTAATCATACATAAGAAATAGTGAGAGATTCTAGTACTGATTGCAGAACTTGCTCTAATACTATGATAAATCGTAATATTATAAAATATTACAGATCTTTCTATTCTTTCGAGAGCATAGAATTACGTTTGCTGCATTTTAGACAACATTGATATCCTTTCGACACTAATTTTCAAATGCATTTTTGTGCAGGCAAAGCAGTAAGGAAAACAAGGATTGCGAGAATTGAAATGTAATGTGTGTGATACCGCGGCTCAAGCTCAAAACTCTTGTAATGGCCGTCAATGGATGGTTCGCAGGACTTGAATTTTGCTCCGGTGGACTCACAATGACAAGTAGATGATGATCGTGATTACTTCTTATCATTCTTTTACTCGAGCATCTAGTTTGAATGCACGATATATTACTAAATGTGAGTAAATAACAAATGTTTGGGTGTGTTGAGCTGAGAATAATGATGAAATGAAATCAATTTCTTGATGATAAGTTTGTTTAGCTGTTAATGAGATGGGTTTCTGCAACTTTCCCAGTTCCAAAATCAGGGACCTTGGTGCTCATCTGATCATGTGATGGTGAGCATTTTGGGTTGGTGATCAGTTTGTGTGGTCATTAAAATACAAGAATGGAGCTTCCTTGGCATATTCTTATCTCATATGATCCCTATCATAGTTTTTGATGACCTTCTTACAAATTTGGTAATGGCTTAAAAAAATACAACCACTACATAATTGTTGGTATCTTTCTTTTTTCTGTAAGAAGTTAGAATTTGCTTCCAACTGTAATCTTATGAATGTGGTTGTTTATATTGTTTTTATAATGACTATATATATATATATTACATAATTGATAAATATATATATTTTTTAACAATAAAAATTACTAAATTAATATATATACATATTAAATAAAATATTTTTTAATTTAATAATAAGGAAATAAAAACAAAAGGTGCATCAGTGAATTACTAGTATTATTCTTTATATTTTATTCATCATTAAAGATAAAAATCCATACACTCGTGTCTAGCGAATCGGAATTTTCTCTCTCCGCACGTGTGTGTGTATATATATATGCTTCAAGAAAAAGGTTATTTTTATATCCTATTTATTAATAAAAAAATCAAGAAACGTAAACCTCAAACTATATTTTTTTACAATACAAGTGCATTGGATTATGTTCTTCTAATCATTACGTTGACTGAAAGTAAATTTTTATCACCATTACTCGTCAGAGTTTCAAGAATTTTAAAACTGTAAAAGTAAAAGCTACATCATATGTCACTCCCCCGAACATATACCATATGCTCTATATGTATATTATACACGACGCAACTACCTTCCTCTTGTTTGACATGTAATACACTCGTGTCTACCTGATAGAAAATTTTCTCTCCCTCCTCTCTCTGCGTGTATGCGTATATGTATATATATCTTCTTGTTCGTTTACAGAAGTCACCCATCAGCAGATAGAGAGAAGGAGAGAGATTAAAGAGAGAGAACTGCGGAAGCAGTGCATCAATGGAAGTTTTCACGCGGTTTAACAGGTTTCTCTTTCTCTCTGTTCTGCTTTTATCTTCTTCCTCATCCGATCTGTATATCTCCGGTCGTGAGCTTCAAAATCTGAGAGAGAAGACCTCTGATAATTACAATATTTCATCTCCATCGCCATTTCCTTCGAACTTTCTCTTTGGCACTGCCTCTTCTTCTTACCAGGTATATATACATATAAATATACATATACATATGTAATTTGCTTCATTATTTTTCTTCCTTTTATCTAACAAATTATATTTATATACACAAACATGCAAGAAACTGACTGAAAGAAAACAAGACACCTACAAGTTGGAAATAAATGAACCAACAAACTACCTTCCTAGACCTGGTCGATCATCTTCACATAAGTTAAAACTAAGGCCAAGCGGCAGTTTATTTTTTCTTTTCTTTTTTTGGGTTTTTTTTAATTGCCTACACAGTATGTATATACGTGCATATATATATATATATATATATTATGAATTATATTATATATACATACATTTTGCAGTTTGAAGGTGCTTATCTGAGTGATGGTAAAGGCTTGAGCAACTGGGATGTTTATACCCATAAACCAGGTAGGTGGTGGGTGAATATCATCACTTGATTCTTTCTTAGCTAATTAAGATTTCATTACATACATATTTTATGTATGTATACATATTATATGTGCAAGTAGAGGATTAATTAACGGGTTTTTGCAGGTCATATAGTTGATGGAAGCAATGGAGATATAGCTGTAGATCATTATCATAGATACCTGGTTTGCCCACGATAACCTTTCTCTTGATTTCCATTTGGTTTATTTTAAACCTGTAGATTACTCTACAATAGTAATTAATTAATCAACTTACATCTCATTGACTAGATACCCCTATATATATATATATATATTATAATGCTATTGTTAGTTAATGCAATGTTACTATCATAAACAGTGACCATATTTTGGTTTTTATCTATAAAAAAATGTAGGATCTGGATTAACCTGTTTCGTCTTTAAGGTGCATACATATATATATATATATATATATGTTATGTATTTGTATATGGATTTTGAAGGTGACATGAAAAAATAAAAGAAATTTTTCTTTCTCCACTTTAGCAAGCAAGAGCCTAAATCAAGAAGAGCCGTGTTTAGTGCAGATCCAGAGATCTTCTGTAATATTTTACTTGTAAACTTGTTCTTCTTTTCAACTATTAAGACTAATCATCATACTCTTTTCAGTAGAGACCAAGAAAAGATAATTAAAGTTTACTCAAATTGCAAACTAATTAAGAGTAAATTTGGAGGAACTGAGAAGCTTGAATTTTACTACTAAGTGGGGGGAAAAAACTTACAATCTTCTTTTCAAGAACTTACAATAGAAAATAAACAAGATTTTCAAGAATTAATTAGTACATGTTGTAGCTAAATCGATTCTTTTATTGGTATTTAAATTATTTTTTCAATTATGATTATGAAAATGAGAGTATGATTGTTGATTGAGAATTGGCAATGTGATCCTTAAAGGAAGACATTGATCTCATGCATTCACTTGGAACCAACAGCTATAGATTCTCAATATCATGGGCAAGAATTTTACCCAGTAAGTCCTCTTGTTTTTGGTTCTTTTTTTAAGAATCTCAAAAATTATATCTAATGGTTGGGAAATTACAGAGGGGAGATTTGGAGGTGTTAATATGGCAGGCATCAATTTCTATGACAAACTCATCAATGCCCTCCTGGTTAAAGGTTTATTATTATTATTATTATTATTATTACTACTATTATAGCTACAAATAATTATAGAAATTTAGCTTAAAAGGTTATGTTATGTCCAGGGATCCAACCATTTATCACATTAAGTCACTTCGATTTTCCTCAAGAAATGGAGGATAGATATGGAAGCTGGTTAAGCCCTGAGTCACAGTGAGTTGACTTGTCTTGATGAGTAATAATACAAATCAAACACATATTTAGTATCGGCCAAAAAATATCACCATTGAAGTACTAGTAGACCTTCAATATGGTGTTTTCCTCACCTTGCCTCGGAAAGAAGAAGCTACATTTAACTCCTTGTATAATGTTGTCAATTGTTGCAGGGATGATTTCGGGTATTATGCAGACATCTGCTTCAGATTCTTCGGAGACAGGGTGAAGTATTGGGCAACCTTCAACGAGCCAAATTATCAAGTTCTTTTAGGTTACCAATCCGGTAAATTCCCACCATCTCGTTGCTCGTTGCCTTCTGAAAATTGCAGTCAAGTGAATTCGGAAAAAGAAACCTTCATCGCAGCCCATAATATCATTTTATCACATGCAACAGCTGCTGATATCTACAGGAAAAAGTATCAGGTATCTATCAAATTTTCAAACATGATTGAGTCATTTTATCACAATGGCTCCAAATTAGAGATTTATAACTCGGGTTCGAGTTAAGTCTAACCCCGTCTCACCAAAGAAGCAGTTGGAATCTAATTAAAACATCTCCATAGGCAAGGTGTGAATTGAGTACTGATTTATGAAGGAACAGCTTCATGAAAATTAATCATAAAACAGAACTTGTCAAGAAATAGTGAACTCACCATCTTAGTGAACATCCAGGAAAAGCAAGGCGGCAGCATTGGGATTGTTTTACATGCTCTGTGGTTTGAACCCATAAGCAACTCCACAGCTGATAAATTAGCAGCTGAAAGAGCCTGGTCCTTCTTTTTTAACTGGTAAGCTTCTTCACCTTACTTTCTGCTGATTCTCCATAGAAGCATTCAACATAACTAAAGAGGTTTATCGCTGACATACCTTGACATATGGCACGAATTTAACTAAAATTGAATGCAGGTTCTTGGACCCAATTATATTTGGGAAATACCCGTCAGAGATGGAGAACATTATTGGATCACTATTGCCACAATTTTCAAGCAAAGAATTAGATAAACTAAGGGCAGGCTTGGATTTCATCGGCATCAATCAATATACAGGTGTATATGTTCAAGACTGCCTTTACTCTGTGTGTGAACCAGGAACCGGAGCGTCCAAGGTTGAAGGATTTGCCCAACAAAGCAAAGAAAAAGATGGTGTCCCCATTGGAGAACGTGTATGTGATCACAATTAATCACCATCATTACAAACTTATTATATCACTATCTGTATAATCAGATGCTGAAGTGTTTTGACATTGCAGACGGATGTGGAGTGGCAATATATATATCCTCCAGGAATGCAGAAGAGTGTCAACTATGTAAAAGAGAGATACAATAACACGCCCATGTTCATCACAGAAAATGGTAAGTTATCATCTTACCAGTTTAAGTTTTGAACGTTGACTTCCCCTCAAATTCTGATATTTGTGTAATGTAACAAAACATGCAGGGCTTGGTGAGATGCACAGTCCAAACTCCCCCATTGAGAACTTTCTTAATGACGTTAGAAGAGAGAAGTTTATGGCCGACTACTTGGATTCCCTGCAGACATCAATGAGGTAAGAACATGCAAATATGCTTAATACTAGCAAGCAACCATTAAAAAAAAGCTATTATCCTAGTAAACTTTATTCAACCATTAATTGCTTACCTCATTAATTAATTTCCTTTTACAAAATGCATCAACATAGCATGTTTAGTTTTCCAGTTCATATTTCAGACACTCATGACTCATTTCTTCTTAAAGCAACTTCCTGTCAAAAAACTACAAATGCTTTCAGGGAGACATCTAACACAAATCATACTTGTTTTGTCTACTTTCCTGGATGCCATCAGAGAAGGTGCAGATGTGCGGGGTTACTTTGCCTGGTCCTTGCTAGACAACTTTGAATGGAGATTTGGATATACTGTAAGGTTTGGACTTCACCATGTTGATTATGCTACACAGAGAAGAACTCCTAAAAAGTCCGCAACATGGTATAAACAGTTCATAGCAAAACAGAGAACAACCAGGTCCCAGAAGCAATAGCATGCTCAACAAGAACAATCTTGGGATAAAATCATAATAAGTGTGCTTGTTTGTAACCCATAAATGACAATAACATGCTCTCGCATGACATCCTCAGACGTTTCTTAATTGTTGAAAACTGAATCATACTTAGAAAACAAGCAAACTATAATAAAATGGATAAACAGTGGCTCTAGATAAATTGTCAGGAACCATATGAAGGGAATAACACATGCATCTACATTCTACTAAATCAATGAAAACAAGAAGATATGAAAAAATATCAAACACAAGGCCTAGCAAAAAAGAGAGTGAGGATAACACAAACCACCGTTTTGTATTTGTCATCCAAGACTTCATCTAAGCCATTAAAAATTATAAACTTAATATATATATTTGAAAAGGTTAACCACTAATACATTAATGGATCATAATATCCATAGAAGTACAGGGAAGTAAAAGATGTGTTTGTCAGAAGTGCATTCTCTATTTCCTATCAACATATTGCATTTTCTCCCAGAAAAAAAATTGCCAGCCAATAGCTAGCCACTTTGCTTTCCTCATAATCCGTAACTCAATTTTGTCATCCAACATCCCAGTCATCTGCCAAACACAGAACCAGGGAAGACATTATGCAGCCTCCAATCTTCCATCGATAACATTTACGTCTTGGCTTGACATACCATGCCTGGCCACAAATCCAGCCTTTTCTCCGAGCAATATGTCCATGCCTACACAGTAGATGCATCACATTTTCTTATATAGGATAAATAGAATTGATCTGTCCAAATAGAGATTTTGGGATAAAAACCTACATATTCACACTTAGGATTTCTTAGACATCACATTTAAGAGGTCTTAAACATCACACATAAGAGTTTAATTGCATTACAAAATCAGAAAAATAAGAAACCCTCAAAAATATTATTGAATAACTTGAATGGTTAATGAGTGAAATTACAAGGTTATTTGTAATAAGCTCTAAGTAACTTTTCCTAACTGAAATTAAACTAGAAAATAATAATCTAATAGAATTAAGAATACTAATCTTAAAATTAGGAATAGTAATCCTAATACAAATAGAAAAATACTAATAACAATAAAAATCCTAAGTTAAAACTACAATAATACTCCTATATTATATAATAGATTCCTAAATAATATAGTTGTTTTACATTTAAGATAATTACAATTTCTAATTTATTTAGAAAATCTAGTGCTAATCCATTTTGCATCATTTTCACTAACAAGTTAAACAAGAAAAAACCAATTGCAAACAAGTTAGGAACTTTCAGACAGACCTCAGATTCTGAAGAAGAAAAATCATAGGTTTTGCTGTTGAACCTAATCTGCACCTGTCTAGTTATGCAGTTTTGCACCTCCACCATGGAGATCCAGCCTCATAAATGTGCTCACCATTATCCCATGATATTTGACATGCTTGAAGTCCGATAGCAACAGTTGGCTCCTTCCCATGCCGTGCAATCCACTCTGTAACAGCCATTTCTTTTTCACCTTCACTTGAATATTTCTTCTTGTATTTCCCATATGGATTGAGCCCAGGGTTAGCCATCTCTGCAATTGTTGCTGGCATGTACATTGAATCACCTACTATAGGAGCACCACAGGCTGCTAGTTGTGCACGAATCTACACCATATATTTGGCTAGTATCAAAACCTCGTATCCTCGTACCAAAGATTAAACAAAGCACCTTACTTAGCAGCATTGTTTAGTAATAGAAAGCTAATGGCAAAGTAAACCATAATCATGTGATCTCCCCTACAATTCCATTACTTGATCAAAGAAAATTAAAATGATGCTCACAGCTCTTAACTATTTTTAGCTTCCCAAAAGCAATTTGCCAAAAAACACTAAGCCGGTAGACCAAAACTGACAGACCATAATCCATCCCGGTTTGTTTCTTAAAGAAAACTGGGTTTGGTAGAAACACAGAACTTGATCTGGTTATATATTAATATAGTTTCAAATTTTAATTAAATAATATATAATGTATATTTTTTAGTTTGTCGTATACATGAAATATTCTTAAGTTAGTGTATATATAAATAAAATATTTCTTTATACATCTTCAAAGCTTAATCCAAAAATTGTAAGTGCTAAGTACTGCTCTTACTCTTGACCAGAGACACCTGAAAAAAACAACAGCAACAACACTGACTCTTTGAAAAGTGTGTCAACGTTTATTGCAGAGACGAAAATCATCAGAGATCTTAGATGTTAAGGCCTTTATAACTAATGAATTATCTAGAAAGAAATAGGATTCCATTCCTAACTTATAGATTATCAAACATATAGATTATCAAACACTATTCATCAAGTTAAATGTTAGCGCTAATTTCACTAGCAAATGAGACAGAATCTCTTTGCAAGCCAGTGTGCCTGCATGCGAACAATGTTACGAGAATAGCAGTGCTGATATAAGAGATACACAAGTTCTAAAATGTCTCAGCACATGAACAAATAGGCAAAGAAAAGAACTGCTGAAAACCTGATGAGTACGACCAGTCAAAAGATTGATTTTACACTCATATGCAAGATCTCTGGAGGGCCACCCGCAGTCCTCAATAGAACATTGCTCCTCAAAAACAGCTTCTGGCCAAGGGACCTCCTTGCATTCCATGACCTCAAGTTGACACAAGTGCCATCCTTTAATAAAATCTACAAGCAAGAATTCAGGTCAATTGCACGCTAGATAATTATGTCTATCATGCTACACTATGACCAAAGCAGGTGGTAATTTGTAGATATATTTTTAATAGATATGTTGATTGGCTACTTCCACAATCACCTTAATAACAATGCAGCTGGTAAATAAGAGAATCGGGCAAAATTTCTCGTATGAGAATTTTGTTTCTTTTGAAAAAAATATTAAGGCACCAAGGAAGTGCTACTCCCATGTACAAAAGGATGGTAACAAGTTAGTCAAAATATCAATAAGATACTGAAAATCGTCTTCCGAAGAGATGATGGCCCCTAATAAAAAAACAAGAGGTCCAGAACCAATAATCTCTAATCATACCAAAGGGGCACAAGTCACCTCAAATTCTCCTATTTCTTTCCATCCATATAACCCAAAATGATTGATAGAGGAATCACCTTCAGAGATAAGTCGTGGAGCCATATTAACTGGACGCATGTAGTGGGTGATAACTCCAATTGGTACAGGAGCAGCAGCAAGACCAAGATAGAGCTTCTTTACCTTTTTCTCCTGATATTTTGAAGGTGAAGGGGAAAAAGACATATTTTCAGTTTAGAACCTCAAAGGGACACAAGCAAAAGACGTTCCAGCGAGATTGCAGGGGCCTGCCAAGAGCATGTAGCTCAAGTGGCTTGGCACTCCCATTGCACGAAGCTGACATTTTGAATTTGACTTACCTCCACCCCACTTTAAGCAAAATAAATAAACAAATAAATCCAGTACTCATTAGCAGATGCCTTTCTAGCAGGTAGGATAAGCTCACTCAAATCTATTGCAAGATATGAGGAATAAACTTACTCTAATTTTTCCATGGAAGACTGAGCAGTACTCCTTCGTTTTAGCAAGCACAACACTACAATTATATTTGCTAACCCGTTACATGCTATATAAATAAATAAATATAATAATAACAACAGCAATAATATTCCACAAGATACATTACCAGCCTTCTGTACAATTATCAATCTGATGGGTAGTCTTCAATGGGGTTGATAATCCCAGGGCACGAGTGGTGAATGTTGCACAACTTTCTTCAATGTTGTCTGTAGTTCCTCCAACCTAAAAACAAAAAGAAGAGACAGAATTTTACATAATAAGTCGTTAAGCACCTCTCCCAAATTTACCAAAATCCTTCCTCTCCTCTGTCCCCCTGAAGAAAGTTAATTATGTAATCACAATTCAAAAGGCAATTAAGCACCAAGAAGAATAGACTTTTTTCTTCTTTCAGAATACTGAATAACTTATTTCTACAAACTAAGTAAGAGAGTGTTCTTTAAACATTTTGATTTGAGTTCCAATTCAGAAGGTTAGATCTCCATTTCAGAAATTTATAGAACCTCATAATCATGGATCTTCTCAACACAATCAAAAGCAACAAGGAAAGAAAAAGTTATGATTTAGAAAGCACTGGCATGCTAGTACACATCATTACAGCGAAGGTAGACAAATTATCCCATTCAACACTCATATGTTGTGATTCCCACAGGTCTGCTTATGTCACCAGAAGATAATTGAATGGATTAATTACATACTGATGTGCCAGCAGGTTTGTCCAAAACAACATAGCAATTGGCCACAGCTATAATTCTTGATTTCCAATCAATCTCATAGCACCTGAAGAGAATTCCAATATCAACAAGTATTCTGCTACCCAAAAAATGACAAAAAAAATCTACTGAATATTATACTACCTCGGGAAGCGTTTTGGGTGTACATGTACACGCAAGTATGTTCCAGCTTCCACGTACTCATCAACATGAGTAATGCGAAACGTCTTCTGAGCTTCCCGCACTGTTTTCCCTTTAATGGAAGCCCTTGTACTCAGGACTTCAGGAGATGTAACTTCTTTAAATATCCTAATCTGTTCAGGAGTTGCAGTTGGAGGAGGCTGTGGACATACAAGAGCGTAATATACAGCTCCAAAATGGATCAAATCTGCAACAAACCTTCAAAGCATGAAATTTCCTACACATTACTCTTATGCTTATAGCTGAAAATAAAGTAGAAGCACGGATAATATTTAACAGATTATGAAAAAAAAAAAAAAGGGATTACAAGAAGCAGCACTCACAGAGGAGGAAGGTCCAGTGCTTTACAGATATATTCCAAAACAGGCCCTCCTTCTGAGACAACTAAATGCTCGACTCTTGGTGGGCTATTTTGTGGTGGACATGGAAGTAAACGATGATACTCAAGGCAGCTGAAACAAGAAGAAAACCTCAAAGATCAATATACCAGAAATGCGGTCACCAGCTAAAAACAGAAAGATCAACAAAAATTGAGTAACCACCTCAATTCACAATATAACAGACCTATACTAGAACCATCCCACCACTATTAAGCTCTTAAAATCAGTTGGTAAAGATAAGCTTGAGGGCAAAATAAAATAACTATTATTATTTTCAGGAAAAGAAAAATGTTGATCCCCACAAGTACAGCTACCATATGAAATGCAAAATTGATAACCCCCGAAAGAAAAAACAAATCTCAGTCCCTACAGGCAAAAAATGGAAAATGCAATACACTATCTCTTCAGTCTTCTGCCAGAAAAAAAAAAATTGAAAAAAAAAAAAAGACTTCAAACTTAAACTAACTTTTGCTTTCTCTAGCCTTCACAACACCAGGTAATGTACAAGCCTGATAAATAATGATTTATCAATCTTCCCACTTCAACCCCTGCACTCAAAAAACAGAACTTTCCCACCCAAATTAAAAAACAATCCATCAATTTCAACTTTTCTAATAAAAATTATTAACCACCAAACATAATTGCAATTTAAGAACCACAAAAGCGCGCGCGGGAGGGGGAAGTGTTGTGGGGAGCAAGATGAACAGCCATTATGGAAATAGAAAAAAAAGGACTCAAATTTGAAGTACCCATTAGTAGCAGAAGCAGCCACTGCATGAGAAACATCCGGTTTCGATGACAGACATGCAAGTGTACTCCTGCTTGAGCTCCATGAATAACACCAACCTCCAACACTCTTCTTCTTGTTTCCCCGGTGCCTCTTGGACCAACGAGAATACGCATGGGTTGACGATAATTTGCGCAGGAGGGATACCGGCACACCAAAACAACAACGGTAACTATTATTAAACACGGAAGCCATGTTCAGGGAACCCATCATCGTCTTGACCTGAACAGACCTTGAAGGTTAGGGTTGATAATCGTATATCATCTTCAGCGTTTTGGGCATGGAATATGAAATCGATTTCGGGTCGGGTGCTTGGGTTAGGAAAGGATATTAATGGGCTGATCATAATTGCTTGGGCCATGATTGTTTTTCTACAATGGAAAAAAGCTCTTTCAATATATATATATATATATATATATATATATATGTTTATACTGAATTTGAATTATTTACTGTTTATGGATCTACCAAAAACGTTACTTGTGAAAGTAGTTGAAATTTAGAGAAAGAGACAATTAATGAATCCCCATTTATTGATATGCGAAATTTCTTTAATCTTATTTTTTTCTTTGGAAATATAACATATACATATACATATACATATACATATACATACACGGTGTGAATTAGGCGGTGGTCCTGCTTTCTTTGGTATTAAATCCAGATAAGGATTAGACGTGAAATTATTTGATAAGCACAATTAATCATCTAACAAAAATAAATACGACAATGACCAATTATTATTATTATTATTATTTTACTTATTTTCATAATTATATACTCAAATAAAAATATGCCCATATTGAATATACATTATTTTTCTTTATATATACATTTTTACTATATAAATATTATTCCTTATGATTTTCTCTGTGTAATATACCATATATATATATTTGTATTTATATTTATATGTGATGTGATGTTGCAAATAATAAAAAATAATTAAACTATATTTAAATATTTTTTAAAAAAATAAGTTTAACTAATTAATTAAGTTAATAATATTATCATTATTAATTATTGATTTAATTAATTAGTTAAAATTATTTTTTAAAAAATATTTTAATTTTTTATTAAAAAATAAATGGAAAAAATTAAGAATTTGGTAATTTAATATTAAATATATTTTTGAAAAGAACAAAATTTAATTTTTTCCCCCCATCAACTCCGACCTTCCAAGTAATTACTGTCAAAGTCTCATAAATACCAAAAACAATAATTAATTAGACCGTTCCACAAACTATATCTACGTATATATGTATATGTGTAGTGTAATTTTCGTAATAAAATTATATTACGTATAGTGAAAGTTAATTTGTTTTCTAAATATATTTAATAAACTTAAATACAAATTATTAAACGATACAAATAAAAATCTGATAAATTTTGTTTTGATTAAAATGAAAACTCTCTCCCCTTCTCTAACCGCGAACTGCACCTGACAATAAATTTACAGTAAATCATGGCGTCTTTCTACTTCACTTTCTATATAAAACCTAACTCAATGGCTTCTTTTCACACAGCGTGACACTCTTTCTTTTCTATCTTCCTTTCTCACCAACTCCATTAATGGAGCTAACGGATCTCCTTATCCTCTGCTCGGCTCTCATCTTCCTCCGACTGTGGTGGCGCTACTGCTACCATGCCGGCCAAAAACGGTCCAAGAACCTCCCTCCGGGACCTCCCGGCTGGCCTCTGGTTGGCAACTTGCTTCAGTCATATTCCAAAAGCGCCATTTCGTCTTCGTCGTCGGCGATTTACGTGCCAAGTACGGTCCAATCTTCACTATGCAAATGGGTCAGCGCACGCTCGTAATCG